GGTAACTTTTCAAGGTCAGATCAGTACTCAAATCAAGCTAAACTTTGAAGTTCTTGTTTAGGCATCTAATGGGCGGCTTTTCTTGTAACTAGTTTCAGCATTCACTTGTCAAACTCACATTATAACACGTCAATCCGGTGACAACTGTCGAGAAAGCGAATAACAAAATGAAACGGAGCATTTCCTGAAAAAAAACAAATGGGAAAAGAAATGGGAGAACAAATGGGAATTAGAATTTAGAAACGATGCTTATAAAACTTAAAAGAAGATGCTTATAAATTGCTCATTATGAGAAAATGAGGTCTGTTTGGAGTTCGTATTTGGTTGGGCAAGAGCTTAAATATTAAAGATCTAGTCTACGGTGATGAGCTTTACAAACGAGTCAACTTCTACATCTTAGCAAACAGTATTTGTTTTTGAAAGTGGCCCAAAGTTTAGGATTATATAAAAGAGTGTCTGTCCGTCGTCCGTCCAGCTTTGAGCCAAAATAACTGTAATTTTTTTCAATAGTTATGCCATTTAAAATAAACAAATCAAGGTTAAGTGACACTACGGAGGGTTGAACCCGGGTTGTTTGAGCCGTAGACAAGCGCGCTTCAGACTGCGCCACGGCGACTACGAGAAGCTGCAAACTTCCCTTAAACGGAAACTGCTCGAGAAGAAAGACGACCAGCTACTGGACTTGAATCAGAGGGAGACTTGGGTTCTAGCCTGGTTGTAGTTTCTAGGTTCTAGCCTGGCCCTAGGTTCTAGGTCCTGGCCGGGTTCTAGTTTCTAGGTCCTGGCCTGGTTCTAGGTTCTAAGTTCTAGCCTGGTTCTAGGTTCTAGCCTGGTTCTAGTTCCTAGGCCTGGTTCTAGTTCCTAGGTCCTGGCCTGGTTCTAGGTTCTAAGTTCTAGGTTCTAGGTTCTAGCCTGGTTCTAGTTTCTAGGTTCTAGCCTGGTTCTAGTTCCTAGGTCCTGGCCTGGTTCTAGGTTCTAGCCTGGTTCTAGGTTCTAAGTTCTAGGTTCTAGGTTCTAGCCTGGTTCTAGGTTCTAGGTTCTAGCCTGGTTCTAGGTTCTAGCCTGGTTCTAGTTCCTAGGCCTGGTTCTAGTTCCTAGGTCCTGGCCTGGTTCTAGGTTCTAGCCTGGTTCTAGTTTCTAGGTTCTAGCCTGGTTCTAGTTCCTAGGTCCTGGCCTGGTTCTAGGTTCTAGCCTGGTTCTAGTTTCTAGGTTCTAGCCTGGTTCTAGTTCCTAGGTCCTGGCCTGGTTCTAGGTTCTAGCCTGGTTCTAGTTTCTAGGTTCTAGCCTGGTTCTAGTTCCTAGGTCCTGGCCTGGTTCTAGGTTCTAGCCTGGTTCTAGTTTCTAGGTCCTGGCCGGGTTCTAGGTTCTAGCCTGGTTCTAGGTTCTAGGTTCTAGCCTGGTTCTAGTTCCTAGGTCCTGGCCTGGTTCTAGGTTCTAGCCTGGTTCTAGTTTCTAGGTCCTGGCCGGGTTCTAGGTTCTAGCCTGGTTCTAGTTTCTAGGTTCTAGCCTGGTTCTAGTTCCTAGGTCCTGGCCTGGTTCTAGGTTCTAGCCTGGTTCTAGTTTCTAGGTCCTGGCCGGGTTCTAGGTTCTAGCCTGGTTCTAGGTTCTAGGTTCTAGCCTGGTTCTAGTTCCTAGGTCCTGGCCTGGTTCTAGGTTCTAGACTGGTTCTAGGTTCTAAGTTCTAGGTTCTAGGTTCTAGCCTGGTTCTAGTTTCTAGGTCCTGGCCGGGTTCTAGGTTCTAGGTTCTAGCCTGGTTCTAGGTTCTAGCCTGGTTCTAGTTCCTAGGTCCTGGCCTGGTTCTAGATTCTAGCCTGGTTCTAGTTTCTAGGTCCTGGCCGGGTTCTAGGTTCTAGGTTCTAGCCTGGTTCTAGGTTCTAAGTTCTAGGTTCTAGGTTCTAAGTTCTAGGTTCTAGCCTAACTCACCATTCGGCCACCATTGCAAACTCTGAGCTTGCAAAAGACCGGGTTCTAGTGTCGCGGTTTGAATTTTGAAACTCTTTAGGTGAGTTTACAAAACTTTGAGCACTTATAACTTTTGACAGAGTGCTCCAAAGGAGAAACGGGAAGCAGATTCGGAATCAGCGTTGTATTCTTCGTCAAATGGTCTATAGCTTTGACAAGCACATTAAGTTTTTCCCTTGTTAACACGATACAAAACAAGTATAGAGAGAGAAAAGAGATCGAACTTTGTAAAAAATGATAAAATAAAGCTTTTAGTTAGAGTTGGAGTTAGAAAATTCATTGGAAACGGTCAATGTTATGCTCGAATAGTGTTATTTGAAATCTTTTCAAGAGAAAAAGAAGGGAAAAGGGTAACAGCCGGTCGATTGGGGAAAAGGGGAAAGCAATTTACTCCCCTTGATGATCACAGGACTTTTCGATGACAACTGGTCTCTAGTTATATTGATTTTGAGTTTTGTGGAATGAATTTGAGAGATTTTACTTTGTTTATATGAAAAAGTGATAGAGGATGAGTCATCCAGTTCAAGCAATTATAGCGATCAGTCATCGAAACGAATTTTGCTCATTTCAGCTATTGAATGAGCTCTCCATTCAGTAATTGATGACTAATGAATTGTGATCGGTTTTACACAACAAAACTTTTATATTGTAGTTATTTACAGGTTTTGTACTACACACAAAGTCTCCTAACTTCTATAGTTTGATTTAGTCCATCGGTATGAGCTCGGGAAATGTAGCCGAGATTCAGAGCTTGTTTCGTGGCTTCTCAGAGACTTCGTGACTTCTCAAAGATTGTTTTGTGGCTTCTCAAAGACTTTGTGACTTCTCAAAGACTTTGTGACTTCTCAAAGACTTCGTGACTTCTCGGAGACTGTTTCGTGGCTTCTCAGAGGCTTCGTGGCTTCTCGGAGACTGTTTCGTGGCTTCTCAGAGGCTTCGTGGCTTCTCGGAGACTGTTTCGTGGCTTCTCAGAGGCTTCGTGGCTTCTCGGAGACTGTTTCGTGGCTTCTCAGAGGCTTCGTGGCTTCTCGGAGACTGTTTCGTGGCTTCTCAGAGGCTTCGTGGCTTCTCGGAGACTGTTTCGTGGCTTCTCAGAGGCTTCGTGGCTTCTCGGAGACTGTTTCGTGGCTTCTCAGAGGCTTCGTGGCTTCTCGGAGACTGTTTCGTGGCTTCTCAGAGGCTTCGTGGCTTCTCGGAGACTGTTTCGTGGCTTCTCAGAGGCTTCGTGGCTTCTCAAAGACTTCGTGACTTCTCGGAGACTGTTTCGTGGCTTCTCAGAGGCTTCGTGACTTCTCGGAGACTTCAGAAATGAATTGCGATCCTTGGATCCAATAAACGATTCAATTAGTCCAATAAGCGTCCATTCTATAAATCTTAATCTTAAATCTAAATCCTATAAAGGTTAGCTATGGAATTTCTTCCACAAGAGATGGCTTGTCCAATAGAGTATTTCTCATTTGATTCTCAATTTTGATGGCTTTAAAGCCATCAAAATATTAAAATGTGCGTGTAGAACGTAAAGATGATTTTATTAAAAAAACTGTCCTTACGATTCAATTATTGACTCGAGTTTTCTACACAGCTTTCTGTAATTTCAACAAATAATTCGTAAAGTTTTATGAAAGCTGGAAACTTCTAAAGTATTAGAATCAGGAAATAAGTAGTTTCAAAAAAACTTAAAATTCAATTCGAAATTCGAATCACTTTCAACTTGAAAGTTTCAAGTTATTTTATGGCAAGACGGGCTAGAAAAGCTTCTTTAAAAGCTCTTTAAAAGCTTTAAAAGAAAGTCCAAAGTCAAGGTTGCCAAATGGGAATTGCAATAAAAGGGAAAAAGAGTTACTCAAAAACAGAGAAGAGAAAAAAGAAGAGAAGACGAGACCGGATTTGAGAGTTATTTGAAGAGGAGAGCTTGTATCTACCCTATATAGAGATCTCTTTTCTTTCCCTTTTCCTCTCTATTCAATTCTAGTCCCCTTTCTCTTGTACATTCAATGAAATGACTATGACTGTGACTGAAAGAGGATCGGTGCTTCATCGTTGCCAATGGTCATTCCATCGACAGTCTGCATTCTTTTTAATTAGGCATTAATTCCTACAGTGTTATTCGGTTTTTCCTTTCTTCTTCTCTTCCTTTCTTCCTTTCTTCCTCTCTTCCTTTCTTCCTTTCTTCCACCCTTGTCTTTCCTTCTTTCTCTTGGCAAGTTAAGGTACTGGATACCTCAGTGGTTAGAGCCTGGAAAGTAAAAGGTCTAGAGTTCAATCTCTTCTCCTGAAATCTACTTTTTCTTGCTAATTCCTTCACTTCTTTATTACGGACCTTACTGCTTACGGTTTGAATAAGTTGAACTGATCATTTTGATTTATATAACCAGCGGAGAAACCCGAATAACGGCGGGTTTTTCTGGATTTCTTGGGGATGGACGGGGTTCGACCTCCCGACTCGGATTGTGCTTTTTAAAAAATCCAAAAGCACGTTGCACAACTACATATAATTCCCTATGTAACGGCGCAAAAATCATTGCAATTGATCCTCTAGAGGCTGAGGAGTAGCGCGCACAGACAGACAGACTGAGAGACAAATGGACGGACAGACGGACAGATAGACGGAGAGACAGAAGGAGAGACAAACGGAGAGACAAACGGAGAGACAAACGAACGGACAGACGGACAGATAGACGGACAGATAGACGGAGAGACAGACGGAGAGACAAACGGAGAGACAAACGGAGAGGCAAACGGACGGACAGACGGACAGATAGACGGACAGACAGACGGACGGACAGACATACGGACGGACAGACGGACGGACAGACAGACAGACGAACAGACAGAGAGACGGACAGACAGAGAGACGAACAGAGAGACGAACAGAGAGACGGACAGACAGACAGACGGACAGACAAACGGACAGACAAATGGACAGACGGACAGACATCTTAGTTCCTTTATATATAGTAGATCTTGAGAATGTTCTTTCTTAAGCTTTTATTTATTAAATCTTGAGATTATTAGTTCATTTCTTAACTAATTTTCAGATGAAAGAAATCTTTTTGATATTCCTACTCGCTTGGTCGATCGATAGCTACAAAAACTGCGATTTCGACAAAGATGATTGTGGTTTTGAGTTTGAGGAACCGTGGTTTATTACGGTAATTTGCGAGAAATCTATTCAATAGACTGTTTAGGCTTTTATTGCTAAAAGAATAAAAGAATTGCTCTTTTTCAGGATCGTATCTACATCCCGAACGTTTTCAACGGTCCACCAATGCAATTAGTGAGCAAAAGTTTGTTTTAATTGAACAAAGAGCTAGTAATGTTAAAAACTAGATGTGTAAACAATCAGAAAGCTCGTTAAAACCCCTGTAAAATCTTTAGAACACTAGCATTTTGGTTAGCATTTTTGGCTAATATTTAAAGGGTTTATGCCGACTACGATGCTTTTAAAAAAAACACAGACAAATGTTACAGTATGTCTGTAACATTTGCCTATCTTTTTTTTTATGTCTGTCTTGTCTCTCGACAATACAGACACTACTGTAAAGCTGTAAAGATTTAGAGAAAAGTTTTTCATTTCATTTTTCAGACACTCGCTTCGTGGCAGCTCAGGGGAAATTCGGTGGTGAACCGAATGGAAATCTTTCGAGTATTTTGTGGGGATTAGGTGAAATGCCATCAAAGATCAAATTCCTCTTCTCAAAATCGACTCATTCCACGAAGTTGAACGTGAGTCGTATTAGGGAAAAGGAATAGTGAATGGGGAACGGGAAAATGAATGGGGAACGGGAAAGGGAATGGGGAACGGGAAAGGGAATGGGGAACGGGAAAAGGAATGGGGAACGGGAAAAGGAATGGGGAACGGGAAAGGGAATGGGGAACGGGAAAAGGAATGGGGAACGGGAAAAGGAATGGGGAACGGGAAAGGGAATGGGGAACGGGAAAAGGGATGGGGAACGGGAAAGGGAATGGGGAACGGGAAAGGGGAATGGGGAACGGGAAAGGGAATGGGGAACGGGAAAAGGAATGGGGAACGGGAAAAGGAATGGGGAACGGGAAAGGGGAATGGGGAACGGGAAAAGGAATGGGGAACGGGAAAGGGAATGGGGAACGGGAAAAGGAATGGGGAACGGGAAAGGGAATGGGGAACGGGAAAGGGAATGGGGAACGGGAAAGGGAATGGGGAACGGGAAAGGGAATGGGGAACGGGAAAGGGAATGGGGAACGGGAAAGGGGATGGGGAACGGGAAAGGGGATGGGGAACGGGAAAGGGAATGGGGAACGGGAAAGGGAATGGGGAACGGGAAAAGGAATGGGGAACGGGAAAAGGAATGGGGAACGGAAAGGGAATGGGGAACGGGAAAGGGAATGGGGAACGGGAAAAGGAAAGGGGAAAGCAAATGGGGAACGGGAAAAGGAATGGGGAACGGGGAAAGGAATAGTGAATTGGGAAAAGGAAAAGGAATGGGGAAACGGAAAAGCCATACCAATTCAATTCAATTCAATTTCTTTTTGCTTAAAAATTATCTAATTAACATTATTTAATTCAATTTAAGTCTTAAAGCTAATTTAAATGCAAATTTTTATGAAGAAACTAATGAAAAATCAAATAAATCTTTTCTAGTATCAAATAAATAAATTATTTAATTCTAGGTGATCCTCTCGTCACAATACGAAACACGATGCATTGACTCGAGTAAGGAAAAGCTCTGGAAAAGCTCTGGACAAGCTCTTTTCTAGAAATTCAAATGAAAACTTTAGTAACTGGTGTCGGTTTATTGCAATGGAATCCGAGAATCGTCGAGATTCCACCAGTTTCCGGGACTTCACAGGTTGAAAAGCGGGCTTTTAAGAAGAAAACTCACAAAGAAATGACAGTATTCTATTACTGAATAGTTTAACAGTTTGATACGGTGGTTTTTTTATCGTTTGAGGCTGGGAAAACAAAAAAATTGCCCGTGCCGGGATTCGAACCTTCGACCTCTCGCCTCTCAGGCGAACGCTCTACCACTGAGCTAAAGGGACGTGCCGTCAGATTAGGGCTCTATCCCTGACTATCCTGGATTCTTCATTTTTCGTAATTCTCTAGCGTGTGGGACACTCTTATTGCCTGTTTTTCAAAAAAGGAAAGAAGTATGTCGCTGGCGGGAGTCGAACCCACCAAGGGGTACCGGTTTTGTAGTCCAGCTTACTATCCCCTAGGCCACCGCTGCTTGCTTCTCCGAGGCGTGTGGGACACTCTTATTGCCTAGGGGGCTTTTTTTTAGTGATCGACTTCAAATGGACTTCAAAGTCGAAAATCGTCACTTTAAAATGCATTTTTCTTGCCAGGATTTTAATTTAAGCAATAAGTGAATAGATATTTAAAATGCTGATATCCGGCTGGTGTCTGCACTTCGAGCTTATCCTGAAGCGTCAATTTGGATCATCCCTTATCATTACTCAATCTAATCGGTGTCATTTAGAAAGCAAGGAGCTCAATCTATTTGTTCTAGTGATTCTAGTGATTCTAGTATTCTAGTGATTGTCCCATTTTGGATCATTCCCTTGTGAAAATCAAAAAAATCTCTTTTTTCAGGACCAGAAAAGTGTTTTCTCACTTTTTAAATCCCAAATAAACCTTAAAGAATAAATCCAATGCCATAAACGAAAAAAGACTCGAGTTTTAAGCTCAATTTCGTTTTTAGATCATTTTCCAAGTGACCGGCATACGAAATTCGTTCGACGTCATCGCTCTAGACAATCTTCAATTCGAATTCGCCCATCAGGGACAAAAAGCTGGTCCAGAGTTCTTATTTAGCAATGATCGGTGAGTGAAATATTTGAGATATCAAAGAAGATCAAAGAAAAGCAATGTTTAGCTCGAGAAAGGATTTCGTGAGGAGAGCGCCGAGTGGGTTTTTTCTTTTGAAATTCAATAGATTTTCCTCCAAAAAGGAAAAGAGACAAAAAAATCCCACTTGCAAGAGGAATTTTGGCTATAATTTCATTCAAATTCAACCTTTCTTTATTATTTTAGTTTCATTCGATAGAGAAAACTTTTCTGCGTTCAATGATATCAAAAATAAGAAAGGTTGGGTTGGATTTGGGTCAAGGCTTAGGCTTAGTCTTAGGCTCAGGCTTAGGCTTAGGCTCAGGCTTAAGCTTAGGCTCAGGCTCAGTCTTAGGCTTAGGCTCAGGCTTAGGCTTAGGCTTAGGTTTGTGAAGATAATGCTGAATAATTAAACTTTAAAGTCAAAGCTTCATTTGAAGGTGAAAGCCGTCAATTCAACCTGGTTACCTGGTTACTCAAGTGATAGAATTTTGCAGTAGAACAGTGAGCAATAAAGTTTCAGTATTAGTAGAACAAGTACTGAGCCTGAGCCTAAGCCTGAGCCTAAAAGCCTAAGCCTGAGCCTAAGCCTGAGCCAAGCCTGAGCCTAAGCCAAGACTGAGCCAAGCGGCCAAGCCGCTAAGCCTGAGCCTAAGCCAAGACTGGCCTAAGCCTGAGCCTAAGCCTGAGCCAAGCCGAGCCTAAGCCTAAGACTGAGCCTAAGCCAAGCCTGAGCCAAGCCTGAGCCAAGCCTGAGCCTAAAAGCAAAGCCTGAGCCTAAGCCTGAGCCAAGCCTAAGACGCATAAGACTGAGCCTGAGCCTAAGCCGAGCCTAAGCCAAGACTGAGCCTAAGCCTAAGCCTGAGCCTAAGCCTGAGCCAAGCCTGAGCCTAAAAGCATAAGCCTGAGCCTAAGCCTGAGCCTAAGCCTAAGACTGAGCATAAGACTGAGCCTGAGCCTAAGCCTGAGCCTAAGCCTAAGACTGAGCCTAAGCCTAAGCCTGAGCCTAAGCCTGAGCCTAAGCCTGAGCCTAAAAGCATAAGCCTGAGCCTAAGCCTGAGCCTAAGCCTAAGACTGAGCATAAGACTGAGCCTGAGCCTAAGCCTGAGCCTAAGCCTAAGACCTAAGCCTAAGCCTGAGGAATTTTGGCTATAATTTCATTCAAATTCAACCTTTCTTTATTATTTTAGTTTCATTCGATAGAGAAAACCTTTCTGCGTTCAATGATATCAAAAATAAGAAAGGTTGGGTTGGGATTTGTTGGCTGTTTATCAAAAATAATATAGAAAGGTTGAATTTGAAAGAAATTCTAGTCAAAATGCCTCTTCTGTTTTCGATTTTTGAGAGAAAATTGTGCAGGCTTGATTGAAATAATTGCTTAAATGTATTGCTTAAATTCTTTGCTTAAATGTAAACGCAACCTTTCTAGTGCACTCAATCTTTTAGACTGATAGACTGACTCTTTTAGAAAGCTTTTCTTCAACCAACATTTCCTGTGCGGCGCTTGTTTGCGAATTCGAGGAATCAACGTGCGAATGGTTTGTGAAATACTTCAAATTCTAAAGTCTATCACAAATTACCGTAATCTTGTCTTTAATTTTTAACTAGCGTAAATACTGTAATAGTACCCCAGCCCCAAAATGATGGTACGGAGTGTTGCGTAGTCTAGCTTTGAACGCGTTTTTCTCGACACTGGTTTATGCTACAATGCTCGTTTTGGTTTCAAAAAATAGCCCTGAATTTCAGCTATTTTTTGATACCAAAGACGCATTTTTTGAAAGTACGGGCACTTTGAAAAAAATGAATGAAAGAAAAATGAAATACTAAAAAACTTTTGCGACTACGCGTCTGTACGAGGTGTATTACAGTATTTACGGTAGGTTATTTGTCTTCTCTTTATAATAAAAAAAGGAATTATATCTCTAACTCTTACGCATCCCGAGTTATTGCAATAATGGCGGTGCGGAGTGTCGCGTAGTCTAGCTTTGAACGAGTTTTTCTCGACACTGGTTTATGCTACAATGCTCGTTTTGGTTTCAAAAAATAGCCCTAAATTTCAGCTATTTTTTGATACCAAAGGCGCATTTTTTGAAAGTACGGGCGCTTTGAAAAAAATAAAATACTAAAAACTTTTGCGACTACGCGTCTGTACGAGCGGGGTGGGGTACTATTAAAGTATTTACAGTAATCCATTAACTTTTTGGATCTTTCAATAGCCTTTCCTCACAGAATTCTGATTCAAAAGTGAATAGATTGAATCAAAAATAGAGACAAGATTATGGTAGAAAGAATGCTCTAGAAAACGGAGTACCCTATTTGCCTCTAATAGTACCCATCCAGCCGAGTTGATGACGAATTTACGGCTTCCAAAGTTCTCCAAGAAGCTCAACACTCTAATCCCCTTGTCAGCTACACTGAGAAAAAGCAAAAAAAAACGAAATCACTGGGTGTTCTTGCGGTGTTCTCTGTGCACTCTCACAATCGCGCACTTTCTGGCATAGGGGGTTTAGAGATAGCGAGCCGAGAATGCTTTCGATAAGTCGTCGGTCCATCGGTTTGTCACAATGCTCTAATTTTTCATCGACATTTTCCGACCCAATAGGTTCTCGTAAGCGGTTCTCGAGATCTCAAGCAATTTGAGGGAAGCTTGAAGTGCACTACTATTAGAGAGAATACGGTACTCAGTCGGAAATGAGAAAGAAAGGCTTGGGAAAAGGCCAAGATTAGGCCAAGACTTCTCCTTATGCATGACTCTAGAATTCATTCGGTGCGTCTGAAGGGTTCGGTGCGCCATTTAAAAGTGTGTTTTTCATGTACCGGCTTTTCCCTAATAGTCGTGCACCGCCGGTGAGCCGAGTTGATGACTATTTTATCGTTTCTAAGTTTTCCCAGAAGCTCAAGACTCTAATCATCGTCAAGATCCCATTGTCAGCTACATTTTCCGACCACACATCGATAAGTTCTGATAAGCGGTTCTCGAGATTTCAAGGAATTTAGGGGAAGCTTTAAGTGCGCTACTATTAGGGAAAAAATCATTTGAGAGACTTTAGTGATGACTTTAAGTATTTAAAAGTATTTAAAGGGGGGGGGGTATTAATCGCGGCCGGGTGACCATAAAATTTTTTTTACGCCAACCACCTGTTTTTTTATTTTAATATCGCTGATTTAATTATAAAAAGAATAAAAATCACCCGGCTAGAGTGATTTGATGGGTTTACAACTTTTTGGAGACGCTGCAAGGCTTGGAAAAAAACAAGATCGTCACTCAGACACCTCAGCACAGTCTAGATCGATCGAGTTTTAATTGCAGATAAATTTAAAAACAAAATAAAAAGCACAAAAAACAATACAAATAAGTTGTTAATCTATAATTCTTCCTCTTGCTCACTTTCATCTTCGCTCAAGTACAGCAGTTTCTCAGATTGGCTTCCTATCTTAGTCAATTTCCAGCGCATCCTCAACAGAAATGACTGGATCTCCCCCATCTTCAGCGCTTTGATTGACGCAATTAGATCTTTTTTCCATTCGATTGTGGTTTTCTTTTGTTTCCTAACATAAGTTTTCTTGGCTTTCGAAAAAACAAGAGTATTTAGAAAACCATAAGCTAGATTAGCTTAATGATCTTTTGCATTATCTAAAAATAAAATCTCCATCTTGAAAAAGGCATCTAGAGATGTTAAAAACCAAAAATGTAGATCGAAAGGCTAAAGAAAACAAAAAGAAAACATAATGCCTGACTTTTGCTTTACTTTCGCACTTACCTTGTAGATGAACTACGCGAGCCTTGCAGCGTCTCCAAAAATTTGTAAACCCATCAAATCACTCTAGCCGGGTGATTTTTATTCTTTTTATAATTAAATCAGCGATATTAAAATAAAAAAACAGGTGGTTGGCGTAAAAAAATTTTTTATGGTCACCCGGCCGCGATTAATACCCCCTTTAATGTTTTTAGGGAATCCTCCGAGCCGTGGGTGATCGTTCGTGGCCGGGCACTTCTCGAGGGGAAACAACGAGCGAAACTCGTCTCTCCGCCTGTTCTCCTCCCACATCGATCACACTTGCAAATGGAGGTTTTGATCAGGTAACCAAATTGTTTAACACATTTGTAGTGTCATTTTCGGCGTACTGTCGCGTAGTCACTACTGTTTTACAGTTAATTTAGTGGAAATTCAACGATAAACTAAATTCTAGTGATTCGATAGCTCTGAAGCTTTTCTTGAAACTAGTAGAAAGAGTGCCCGTGTTCTAGAAAGACTTCTAAACTTCTAAATGAATAAGAATGAAAATTGGGAAGGAAAGTGACACTTTAAAGGCCCATAACTTGTCTAGAGATAATAATATTGTTAACTTTGTAAAGAGGAAACTTCAGGCTTTCTAATGACATCAAATATAATTTGATTGGATAAGCAAGTTCAGAAATCTTAAAGCCAACTCTGTTTTAAGCCTAAATATCTATAAAATATTAGCAAAAAGGAAAGCAAAGGTGTCCTGAGGCATCCTCTAGAAGTAGAGTCAACAATGTGCTTTAGTGAGAGCGCTCAAATCACGGTGATCGGCTCAAATGATGGGGGTGAAGAAGAGCTATGGAAGGGTGATGGGAGAGCGATGGAAATCGGATGGAATACGGTTAGGATACCGATCAGGTAATAGGATAATTAAAATGAAAGGAACGAGGTGGCAGGGCAGGGTTACGGCGGAGCTGATCAGTGCGATTGGGGAATATTTGAAGCCCGCCCCCTTTGCCATTGGCAAGACTTTGAGCTCTAATATCTTGGCGTTCGGCTGTCCAATTTGAATAGTTTTTCTACCAATCGACAGAGGAAGACTTGGCGCATCGAATGATATCAAGAACATTTAAATTGAACAGCCGAACACCAAGAACTTTGAGCTCAAAGCTAGATTGCCAATGGCAAAAGGGGCGGGGCGACGGACCTTCTATACGCGCCTGCCCCTTCGCCATTGACAATCCAACTTTCAGCTTCAATATCTTGGCGCTGGACTGTCCAATTTAAATAGTTTTTATACCAATCGATAGAGAAAGACTTGGCGCATCTAATGATACTAATAATACCGAAATTGGACAGTCGAACACCGAGAAATTGAAGCTCAAAGTTAGATTGCCAATGGCAAAACTTTGAACTCGAATATCTTGGTGTTCGGCTGTCCAATTTGAATAGTTTTTATACCAATCGACAGAGAAAGACTTGGCGCATTGAATGATACCAATAACATTTAAATTGAACAGCCCAACACCAAGGAATTTGAGCTCAAAGTTAGATTGCCAATAGCAAAAGAGGCGGAAATGTCCGATGACCAAAATTATTGGATACGATTTTATTTGTTTGTTACCACTTCTAGACACTCAACATTGCCCACAAGGATCACAATCCAGGCACAAAGCGATCGGGGTCAAGTCGCCGTGTCGCACACGAAAATCGTCGACGCGAATGGGAGGGAAATGTTTTGTGGTCGGTTTAGAAATGACAAGAATTTCAATATCAAGATATTGCTGTGTAGTTGAGCACTTAAATGTACTAGCTAGACATTTTCACATAGTGAATTGAGACAGCAAAGAGTTCTCTTGAACTGGGCACCGTTTCTGTTTCTCTGACGCACTTTGGACTGTAGTTGACGCGGAGGAGTAGCTGATTTGATCGAATTTAAATCAAAATCATTTGTAAAAGATCACTTATTTTGTTATTTGAAGATTTTTTTTATATGAGCACTTCAATATTTTGCCTTTTTAACCGTTTTTTTCGACAAAACGATGATTTTACAGTTTTCAAACGGTAGTTTTTACTCTTTTAATGAGCCATTTTGCAGTTAATCGTCGTAGTAAACTTATATAAATCCCTAAAAAATAGTTTTGTGATAGTTAAACAAAAAACCAGAAGAGTGGGCAGTAAAGGGATTCGAACCAGGCGCAAAACTGGAAGCCAGTTTCGTACTTAACTGTACTGTACTGGACTCTATTGTACTGTACTGGACTCTACTGTACTATACTGGACTCTATTGTACTGTACTGGACTCTACTGTACTATACTGGACTCTATTGTACTGTACTGGACTCTACTGTACTGTACTGGACTCTACTGCACTGTACTGGACTGTACTGTACTGTACTGTAGATTAACTACTTTCCTGTGAACCAGGCGCAAAACTGGAAGCCAGTTTCGTACTTAACTGTACTGTACTGCATTGTACTGGACAATCTCTAGATTCTTTTATCTAAACGATATCAAACTTTAGACCTGGTGTCACCGGTCGTGACTGTTCCCGTTGTCAAGAGTGACAGCCAGTTTCACACTAACCACTAGGCCATCAGAGCACAATAGGAAATGATGAGAAAAGCTTGTAAAGCAGCCGAAAAAAGGCCAAATTTTGTATGCCAAATATCTCGTGTTACAGAAGCGTTCCGGAAAAAACTAAAAGCAGATTCAGAATCCCCGATGAAAACTATCAGATGGGCCTCGCTAATGTGAAAATTCGATCTTGACTTGACAAAATTCCTTAGTTAACTTCACTGAGTTCTTTAATTTCTTTTATTTTTTTCATTGTAATAGCAATTTCCCCTTTTCTAGAAGCCACAACACCGGCCATTCGTCCACTTCAATCCGAGGTTGTCCAACGCTTGACCGCTCTACAACAACTCGATGATCTACCGTACTTACCACCGGTAAAATTGTTAATCTAATCGATTTAGATAATAAAAACCCATTCACTTATCTATTATAATATTCAATTTCCCATTAAACAATCAAATTTTTTAGTTTCCACATCGAACTTTTGCCGCCAATAGCATGCCCTTCGTGCCGAACACAGTACCATTTCCACAAGTATCTATTTTTTAAAAGATATTCAGTTTTTAATACTTTATATCTTTAAATAGATATTAGATAGATATTAGATAGATATTAGATCGATATTAGATAATCATTTTCTATCTAAAAGTTTCCAGTTTGGGGCACTACCAATCTCTCCAGCCGTCGTCAATATGAATCGAGGGATGTTCAATGTGAGTTCCAAAGATTTCCAAAGATCCTAATTTACATAATATATCTAAATATTAGGTTTTCCGGAAATAAATGAGCGTTTTCAACTCGAATATTTCAAATCCCATAACTTGATCCAAACAAAACATATCGATTGGATCAGAATAGGAACTATATTGGAAACGTATTGGATCAGAATAGGAACTGTATTGGAACCGTATTAGAACCGTATTGGAACCGTATTGGATCAGAATAAGAACTATATTGGAACCATATTGGAACCGTATTGGAACCGTATTGGAACCGCCTTGGATCAGAATAGGAACCGTATTGGAATTAATTAAATTAAATTAATCGAAATAAGAACCATTACAATTAACACATTTTTCCCAACGAGAAACAAGTTTATTTATGCCGGTAGCATAGAAATCCGGGCTTCTGGAGGCGATAAACTCGGCAAAGGCGTTTTTGGCTTCGTCTTGAGTTTTGAAGCATTTCTCCCGGAGAGAGTTGTCGAGGTGCTTGAAAAAGTGGTAGTCGGTAGGCGAAAGGACCGGCGAATATGGCGGGTGAGGCAAAGTTTCGTAGCTCAGTTCGTTCAGCCGGCTTTTCAGAGCAAACTTTATTGAGAAAAATGTACCCAAATAATAAACAATACAAAACGCTCATTTATTTCCGGATAACCTAATATTTATTTGAAAAAATAGCCATTAAATAAGTCAAATTTCCTATTCAGATCCCATCAGCCCCTATTTTCTTCCCACCGCCAACCACTCTTGGCCCGAATTTTGTTGATGTGCCGAGAGAGACCCGGAACTCGAGTTAGTTTTGGTTCTGCTCGGAAATTCGCGTCTTTTCATTGTGAAAAGTTATTGTAAAACAAAGCCAATTGAGAAAATGGGTTAAAATAAACTCCGTCAATAGATTCTACGACCCGGAGCACAAATTTTTTAAATAATCTCATTTGGAAGTCATTTACATAACAAAAGAGAAATCTCTTACAAGCTTACAAGCGCCAAATTAAACCCTAATGTGTTATTATCTAAAATATTGAAGCCCTTTACTAGTTAAACCGTTACTTTTGTAACGGTCCAGAAGATGAGCCTTGCTTTCGTTGTTTCCATTCAACTCCGCAAACCATTTTAACAGTTTTGGCCTTCATTGTGCTACGAAAAGTTCCGGATTCTCCATTCTCAAGTGGAAATATTAGGGTGGTGCAAAAGAAACTGCCGATTTGACGGTAAATTTAAAAAAAGATGGCGTTCGATGGTGACATGATCACAATGGAATATTTTCGCAAGATCTAGAGCAGATTGGCATGGATCGGCCTGAATAACGTCCCTCAGCCTGGCTTCGTTCACGACTTCTGGCCTCGAACCTTCTGGCCTCGACTTCTGGTCTCGAACTGTGCTCGTAATCTTCCAAAGTCTCGTCTCCCTCTCGGAATCGTTGAAACCAAGTCTGACACTGCATGAGAGACAAACTGCCATCTCCAAAAGCAGCACAGAGAGAACGATGCGGTTCGGCAGCAGACTTTCCAATTTTGAAGTTAAACAGTAATGCTGCTCGTAGCACAAACTTTTGCTCGACCATGATCTAAATAAAAATAAATAAAAATATAAGCATTGGCTTCGTTCACGACTTCTGGCCTCGAACCCTGCTCGTAATCTTCCAAAGTCTCGTCTAAAATAAACAACAACCAAAAAATTCAAATGTCGAAATAAATAGCAAACAAATATGCGAACAAAAAATTGAAAAAATTATGCCGTTAGCATCGCTCGTTTCTGATAAATGAGAGCTGGTACCCATCGGCAGTTTCTTTTGCACCACCCTAATAGATTGATTTCTCATTTCAACACAAAAAAAAACAATAAAACAATACTTTCAATTAATTTGATCAAAAACAAACGAAAAACAAAACACTGCAAATGATTTGAAAATGAAAAAGAAACGACGACGCGGCACTCCCATCGACTGCCTCCAAATGGCGGCGACGTCAATTGGAATGCGACGTCGCGCAAAAATTAATATTGAATTTAGTACTCATTCAAGAGCTTGTAAAATGAGTTGCATATCTCCAAACGGGAAACTTTTAATAGATAAATGTAGCCAAGATTAAGAGCTTCAATATTTTAGATAAAACTTAGCACATTAGGGTTGAACTTGGCGCTTGGGAGCTAATCTAAGAAAAAAAAAGTCGCTGTAAATACTGAACGCCCAATACTTTGCTAGAGATTGACTAGGATTTCTATATTTCTTCAGAGCAAAACGAGCTAAAACTGACCCGAAAAGCGGATTTCATCTTTTAATACCTAATTATTGATAAATCAATTTACTTTAGTTGTTCCTAAATAAAGCTTTATCAAAGATTCGATACTAAATCGATCTGCCAATAATTTAGTTATCGATTAGTAAGATTTAGTAAGAAATAAATCTTATTAATCGTTTGAAATTAGTACTTCCTCTTTAAGCAAAGTATCAAGTTGTTCAAAATGATGCTTCATGATGGTCAAATTGCGTTCAAAGATCTGTAAGCCAAGCCAGATTATAAGCAAGACCAGGCCTGACTTCTGGTCTAGATACTTTTTGCCTTGCCATTTTTTCTGGCAAGCCAGAGCAGAGCCCGATCTGATCCGAAAAATAGTTTGAAAGAACCTCGTGAAAGATACAGTCAATAGATATTTGTAAGGCAAGCCAGAGCCAAGCTAAGCCAAAGCCAGACCAAGCCAGAGCCAGATCAAGCCAAATCCAGATCAAGCCAAATCCAGGCTAAGCCAGAGCCAGGCTAAGCCAAAACCAAACCAAGCCAAAGCCAGACCACGCCAGCGCCAGGCCAAGCCAGACCAAGCCAGAGCCAGACCAAGCCAGAGCCAGACCAAGCCAGATCCAGACCAAGCCAGACCAAGCCAAAGCCAGACCAAGCCAGACCAAGCCAGACCAAGCCAGAGCCAGACCAAGCCAGAGCCAGACCAAGCCAGATCAAGCCAAAGCCAAATCCAGGCTAAGCCAGAGCCAGGCTAAGCCAAAGCCAGACCAAGCCAAAGCCAGACCAAGCCAGACCAAGCCAAAGCCAGACCAAGCCAGACCAAGCCAGAGCCAGACCAAGCCAAGCCAGCTCCAGACCAAGCCAGAGGCTAAGCCAGAGCCAGACCAAGCCAGCGCCAGTCCAAGCCAGAGCCAGGGTCAAGTTCTGATTTCTTGATCCAGGTAATTGTGTTTGCAGTAGAGGCGGATCAGGATCTGGCTTCTGGTTTGGAGCTCTGGCTGTAGTTTGGCCCGGATTTTCTTGCTAGCTCCCAAATTTCTCAAATCTTTTGATAGTAAGTTGAGTTACAGTGCTATAAAAGCTTTAAAATATTAAAAATATTATTATTATTTAATCTTAAACAACCTTAAACATTTGCAGTCTTCCGGAATCCATCTCAAAAGAATCTCGGCTTGAATCCACCGCCACCCGCAATTTGGACTCCGCCAACCACTGAGCCCTCACAAATTGTCGTTTTTCCGGTAAATTTAAGTAGCATTATATTTAAATTTCGACTATTATTTAAAAATTCGACTGTTATCATATAAAATTTGTTTAGAAACACCCACAACCTGTCATTTCTTTGGCAACAGATGAAGCTGGGCGACCGAAAAGCCCACAAATTACTGGTATTGAAGATTTTAATAAAGAAAATGAATAGTAAAATGAATTCTAAAGGTATCTAGTTATCTAGATATCTAGTTATCTAAATATTTAAACCTAAATCGAAATCTAAAGCTTTAAATGTCTCAGAATTCCTACGCTCGATCGGCGCCACGCCGGCGATGGCCTCACAGCTGAAAATGCTGGCAAAAGTGGGTAAAGCCAATTAGTTAGAAATTGAACTAAAGCTACAACATTTTAAACTATTATTTATTAATTTAGAGATTGGGCTTCGAGAATCTCTCGGGCGAGGAAGCGCAACGAGCGCTTGAGACAGCGAAACAACTCTTCGGTAATCGAATCGGATCATTCGATTCACTCGATCTCTCGAAACTTTCCACACTTCATAAACCCCACGGCGTCAATCCAATCAAACCAATCGTCGCACAAAAGGCAAGTTTAATGAGGACTCATAAAATCTCTGGCCGTACTGGCCGGGCAGAAGCCAGGACAGAAGCCCGGCCAGGACCTGGACTTTCTGGGTTCTCCTGAGCCTCGTAGCCTCGTTGAAAACTCTTTTTAGACCACAATGGTCGACTGGCTAAGAGCACTATATCCTAGTCGAGATCCTAGGGTTCAATCCTGGCTAGCTAGCTTAGCTCTTTTTTCCTATGCGTTTTTTCTTCTCTACATTTAGGGCAAAGCAAGTAAGCAGTAAATGCTTTAAGACAAGAATTAATAAAATTGTGCCTTGTATTGTTTGTGCTACATTATTCGTAGAAAAAAAGCTCGCATTTCCAGGATCCATCTCTACCAAAAGATCTTCTGTCTCAACTTCCATCGCAGAGCTCGTTGAACGCGGAACTCGTAAGGAAATTGGGCGATGTGATCAGGTTTGATTCTTGACTTGAACAAAGATCAAAGAGCAAGAGATCAAGACTTGTGATCTGTAAGCCCGGGCAAGACAAGAACCTGGCCAAAAGCTGGGTTCAGGTCTGACTTTGAGCCATGCTCGATTTTCGGAAAATTTCCGTAGATTTCGCTCAAAGTAATCCCGCAGAGCGTGCTTTTCCCGTACCGCAGCCGGGAAATTCCGGCGAGAAGGCTTAGCGGAAAACTTCTGCGAAAAATTTCTGAATTTCTGGAAAAGAATGTTCCGCGGGAATCCTCTGTCAGCGAATTGAGCGGAAATTTCCGTAGCATACGAACTCTCGTTTCTAGAAGGATTAGCGTAAAGCATAAAGCCTTATCCTGGCGGCAATGGGACACTTGTCAATGCAGCTTATTGGTAGAGCGTTAGCCCGATAAGCTAGAGGCAGAGGGTTCGAATCCGACTATGTTTTGTATCCCCAGCCTAAAAGCATCGGAGTGTTCAACTGCAAAGCTTCTTTAAAGCTTCTTTAAAGCTAGTTAGTTTAGTTTACCCCAAACCCAACTCGACGACTCTCGTCCATTAACACGGAAACATCTCGATTTCATCGTGCAAAACGCCTATCACAAAAGTTTAGGGGAATAGGATTTACGATAGTTATTAGGTTGATGCAAAAGTCTTTTTCATTTTTTTCGCACTTCCGTTAAAAAGTAACAAATGCACCAATTGAACAACGGTTTATTGCATTCGAAAGGCCAATTATTTTTCTGCAAAATGACATTAAAACGAGTTTAATGTCATTTTGCCATGTCATTAATGTCAAATGTCTTATGTCTAGATTTTTTTGTGAGCCTGAAGTCGGGTAGTCAAAAAAGGCGACGGCTCGATGATGCATTTTAGACGCTTTAGCTAAGGAAACCAATCTTGATGTTAATAAATAAAAGATAGAGCACAAAAAGTTCGATAATTTTTCAGATTTTCAGAGAAATTGATTCAGCCAATTTCTTTATAGAGGTTTTTATAGATTTTTATGAAAAACCCGTTTTCACTCGCGAATTTGCTTGAAAGTGAGCCCAAATTGACTTAAAAAGATGGGAAATTCAACAATAAACACTTTTCATTTAGCGCAAACCATAGGTTAATTGATGACTTTGTTATTTTTCAAAAGAAGTACGAAAAAAATGAAAAAGGCTTTTGCATCAACCTAATAAAAGGATTTCTAAGAGTACGGTAAGGTAAGCTTTTATCGCAAAGCAAGTAAGCAAAAGCAAAAGCAAAAGCAAAAGCAAAAGCAAAAGCAAAAGAAAAAGCTTTCGAAACAAGAATTAATAAAATTGTTTCTTTTTTTGATCTCAAAAAACAAATTCCGTCTTTCTTTTGTGATGCTTTAGTTGAATATTCTTTAAAATTTCGTATTTGATTGTTTTTTATAAAATATTTATTGTATTTAGAAGAGTTTTTAAAAAAGAATTTGCAAGAAGAATAAAATCGTCAATTTTCGTACACTAAAATGGATTAAATCTATAGAAAAAAGCAAAGAAAAAGCAAAGAAAGCAAAAACAAAGCAAAAAAAAAAAGCAAAAAACTTATAAACACAAAGAAAAAGAAAAAAAATTGGCACTTTAGTTTTCTTTTTTTATCGAATCGAAAATTGAAAAACTGTTGAATTGAGGAAAGCTACCGTAATCGATTTAAGACAATTTTTAAGACAAAAAAACAATTTAAGACAGTTTTTAAGACAAAAAATCGATTTAAGACAATTTTTCGATTTCTAAAAAGCACTAGCGGAAAAGAAATTTAATAAAAATTGATTTTTAGGGGGTGGGACATTTGCGCACCTTTTTTTTTGCTGGAAAAGGCCTTAGGAAAGGTCGTAGAGCTTCAAAAATGTTTCTGATAGAAGGGAATCGTATGCGTAGATTCCGAATTTCGACAAATCAGACCTCGCTGACACGTCAAATTTGGGCTAAAAGGCAAAAACTGCGGAAAAGCGTTAAGTTGCGTAGTTTTTGCCTTTTAGCCCAAATTTGACGTGTCAGCGAGGTCTGATTTGTCGAAATTCGGAATCTACGCATACGATTCCCTTATATGGAAATATTTTCGAAGCTCTACAGCCTTGCCTAAGGCCTTTTCCAGCAAAAAAAAGGTGCGCAAAAAAAAGCTCGCATTTGTTCCACCCCCTTGAAAAACTGTTGAATTGAAGAAAGCTACCGTAATCGATTTAAGACAATTTTTAAGACAAAAAAACAATTTAAGACAGTTTTTAAGACAAAAAAAACAATTTCAGACAATTTTTCGAATTCTAAAAAAGCACTAGCGAAAAAGAAATTCAATAAAAATTGATTTTTATCCTTTTTTTTTTCAAGCTGAGACATTAATTTCTTCGGAATTGTGGCAAATTTTCTAAAACAAAATTGCTTTAATGCGCCAGATGGTGTGTGTTTCGGTGAAAAATTCGTTTTAAAATAAAAAAAAGCTAAAAACAGAAAGAAATGAGTAGGATTTAAGCAAGAGAGATAAGCCATAGGCTATTCGACGCAGAATTTCACGCTGATTTCAAAGCTGCTTTGCGTTTTCTTTGCAAATGGCTTCCTAGAAAAAGTTATACGTGTTTTTCGGGGAACTGGCAAAAATTGCAAATGCGAAAATTTCAAGTAATTGCAAAACGGTTTCACCGAACAGGAATCGAACCCAAGCAAAGAAAAGCCGCGATCGTTTCGTGTGCGAGCATCTTATCCACTACACCACGAGGTCACGTTGGAGACCCGTGAAAGAATCGTTGTAAAGCCTCCAAACTTTCGTTTCGAAAGCCGAAAAGACGAATAGACGAGAATTTCGAGCCTTTATAACGGTTCTTTCAAGGGTAGCAATTGTGAGGAGATGGTGTAGTGGATAGAATGCTCGCATACAAAACGATCGTCTCTCTCCTTCCCTTGAGTTCGATTCCTTTTTGAGAAAAAAGTTTTGCAATGGCTTTCGCATTTTCAGTCTAAAAGCTATATAGGATCTTTCACGACTCTCAAACGTGGCCTAGTGGTCTAGTGGATAAAGTCCTCGCATACAAAACGATCGTCTCTCTCCTTGCCTTGAGTTCGATTCCTTTTTGAGAAAAAACTTTTGTACTGGCTCGAAATTTTCGCATTTTTACTCTAAAACTTATAACGGTTCTTTCACGACTCTAAAACGTGGCCTAGTGGTCTAGTGGATAAAGTGCTCGCATACAAAACGATCGTTACTCTCTTTTCCTTGAGTTCGGCTCCTTTTAGGCAAAAAAACTTTTGCAATGACTCAAAATTTTCGCATTTTCACTCTAAAACTTAGAACAAGTAGAACTTTGAAAGTGATTTTGCAGCTTCGGAAAACAGATTCGGAATCAGCGTGAAATTCTGCCAATAGTCTTATCTCATTTGGCCACATCCTACTGTTGCTTTTCTCTTGTCAGTAAGCGAAATCGTCAGTAAGGCAGAATTTCACGATGTCAGTAAGGCATCGGTGTTCCAAATCTAGGCATTTTTCTCAATCTCACCTTTTCCACCGACGATCCATGACCGCAATCTCTTTGTTCTTCATTTTGCTCATTTTCCGTTTCTTCATCTTTTTTATGGAGTAATGGGGATGAGCCGGAACTGGACGAACCACCAGAAACGACATCATTGTTCCCGGAATCCGTTGTTGAAGATTGATCGGACAGAGAGTGACGACGTTTCTGAAATTATTCTATTAACTATTAACACATTTCGATCATCGATCATCGATCGTTAACTCCGCCCCTTTTTCAATCCATTTGCCGTTGGCAATCTACAAATTTTGCTCGTATTTTAGCTGAGTTTCTTTGAAAAACGTTGAATTTGCTTTCAAGCTCTCAAAACGAATATGCAGAAAGAAAACTTTGCTTTAAAACGTACGGTACCTGGTTCCTACCTTTTAGAAAAGAGTGTTTTTAGGAATCATTGCCTAAACAAACCCTGTCTCTCGAGTTTCTCTCAATAGCATCTCGATCAGCGAATCTCCTCGCATCACTGATCGAAACAGTCTCCTCAAGCACTCTTCCATTCACATCATCTGGTCGTTGTGTCAAAGATATGCACATATCACCAACCTAGATAATTATAGAATCCTATTCCAATAATATTCCAATAATATTCCAATAATATTCCTACCATTAATTGCCTTGCATCCAATCCATACGTGTTTTTCGTTTTCCTTGGATCATGACTACTCCATCCGTGTGCGACAACGAAAAATGGATGTTCTGGTTGATATTCCTGTGTGCATTCGGCTTTATCATCGCCGATTAAGAACTGAAAAAGATTTACTTTCTTTTAGTGAATTTGGTGGAGAGAGAGTTTGACTACGGTGATTTTGGTGGCTTCCAGAAAGCTCTAGCCAAGAGGAGGCCAAGAGGAGGCCAAGAGGAGACCAAGGGGAGGCCAAGAGGAGGCCAATAGGAAGCCAAGAGAAAGCCAGGAGGAAGGCAAGAGGAGGCCAATACACGCCAGGAGGAAGCCAAGAGGAAGCCAAAAGGAAGCCAAGAGAAAGCCAGGAGAAAGCCAATAGGAAGCCAAGAGTAAGTCAAAAGGAAGCCAAGAGAAAGCCAATAGGAAGCCAAGAGGAGGCCAAGAGGAGGCCAAGAGGAGGCCAAGAGGAGGCCAAGAGAAAGCCAATAGGAAGCCAAGAGGAAGTCAAAAGTAAGCCAAGAGGAAGCCAAGAGGAAGCCAATAGGAAACCAGGAGGAAGCCAAGAGAAAGCCAATAGGAAGCCAAGAGGAATTCAAGAGGAAGCCAAGAGAAAGCTAAGAGAAAGCCAATAGAACTCACATGCACTCGAATGAGTTGCCCAATTTGTTCGATTCCCTCAACAACACTCGTTTCCATCGTCAAATAGCTGGAGATTTCGGCGAATTTGAGGAAATCATCAGAGCTCATGTCTTCTACCTGAAAAACATTATGCAAAATGCGTGTAAAATCTCGAAAACTATCATAACTTTCTTTAGAATTTATATTTTTGAGTTTTGCTTCACTCCATTCGAAAGTTCTTGAGATTCTCGATCTTTTGAGCTATTTGAGGATGGTAATTCGGTGAATTTGAAGCAAGTTAGAAGGGTTTTTAGTTTACGTTTGTAGTTTACGTTTGTAGTTTACGTTTATAGCTTACGTTTTTAGTTTACGTTTGTAGCTTACGTTAGTAGCTTACGTTAATAGTTTATGTTTATTGCTTGTAAGGTCGATGTTTTAGTGAAAGACTATTTAGAGAAAGACTCTAACCTTCTTCGTTCGTCCATCAGCTAACTCGATGATCGTGCCCTTCATGAAATGCGTCGGATAGTAGTTCGTGGTGGGTAATCGACCCATTTCAAAAGATTCATGCGATGATCCGGATGAGCTTCTCGATCTCACATCACTTCTGCCCGAATCGCTTGTGCTTCTCAAATAAAAGTAATTGTTTAAATGAAGATTGAAGATAAAAGTAATTGTTTCAATTTCCTCTCTGTTTTACTTTGGTTTATTGTTGATGAGCGTTGTTTGAGCGGTCGAAGTACCGGGGAAATCGACGTGATCTGAAATGGCAATTGGGAATTGATAAAAATGAAAATTGGACAATATTCTAGCAAAATAACGTGTGATATCATTGAATTTTTGATGTTTTTGGATATCATTCTGTACTTTGTAGTGACGCTAAACTTTAGACTCAAAATTTTTGCTCTTAAATCTCTTAGACACCGCCGCTTGGCCACGGATTTAATAGAATGTTTCAAAATTGTAAAGGGCAAGCAAGCTGTCCCTCTTTTTCGAGACTTATTCGAATTGGAGTCGACTGGATCGACTTGGAGTCGACTGGATCAACTTGGAGTCGACTGGGTCGATTTGGAGTCGACTGGATCAACTTGGAGTCGACTGGGTCGATTTGGAGTCGACTGGATCAACTTGGAGTCGACTGGATCCACTTGGAGTCGACTGGATCCACTTGGAGTCGACTGGATCAACTTGGAGTCGATTCCCCAGAGTTTTGAGAGAGTCCAATAGTCTCGAAACTTTTAAATTATCTATAGATGATCTTGATCTTGAAGCCCTAGTGGATCCTCGACGTTATCTGTGCTACCCATATATTACATAGATTATATGTTGCTCGTGTTGCTTTTTATCGGCCCTTTTCGTGTTATGTGTATGAATTCATGTGTTTTAATCTTAAATCTAGCGCACTTTATCTCAGGACCTGAATGAATAAAGTAAAAGCTACCGTAATCGAGCCGTAATAGTAAAAGCTACTATATAAAAGCTACCGTAATCGAGCCGGTTTCCATTCAATCAACCCAACTTTTGTATTATTCAATGTAGAATTACAGGGAATCAATTATCAATTAGGGAATCAATGTCAAAAATTTGACTCATTGGCTGATTACGGTATTTTTCTAGAATCTGCGTCTTTTACGAAACGAATTTAGCGAATAAAAACGAACCATTGAGCGTCGTTTGATTGATCAATGTCTTCATCGTTTGCAAATTTTGAATGAACGGCGATCTGGGTTGATCTTTCGGCATCGTTGACTGACAATCGATTTGTCCGACCGATAGATTCTTTCGTAGCACTGTTCTGCAAAAAGAAACGTTTATCTTTTCACTTCTCTAATCGATTTTTGCCTTTTTCCCCCGTCCATTTCGCGTGAATCAGCTCTGATATTAGTCGTACTTTTTTTTGAACAGAAAACGATCAGGAAAAAGTTCAGGAAAAAGAAAATATGTTCAAGAAAAGATCTTTGAAAAAAATACTTGTTTCTGAGCCTTTAGATTACTGTACAGGACTTTAGATTACTGTACTGTACTGTACTTTTGGGCAAGCTTTGAATTGAGCACTGTAAAGGATTACTGTACAGGAAAAGAACATTATTAGTAGACTTGCTTAACGAATCGAACGAACGAAAAATCGGGGCCTGCTACTCCAGGCGCTCGATCTAGCCTCCAGAGCATTGGATTCCAATCAACTTTTTTTTATTTAAAAACTAAGATTTTAAGCTATCTAATGATATTCATCACTAATATTTTCCTTTTGAAAAAGTCAGCCAAAAACCTTATCGAGATTTAACGAGCCAATTCCTCGTTATCTCGTTAAATCTCAATAAGGTTTTTGACCGACTTTTTCAAAAGAAAAATATTAATGATGGGTATCATTAGATAGCTTAAAATCTTAGTTTTTAAATAAAAAAAAGTTCATTGGAATCCAAGACTCTGGAGGCTAGAGCAAGCGCCTGGAGTAGCAGGCTCCATTTGTCTCGTTAACTCTCGCTAGCCAAGTCTAAGTATTAGTAAACTAGATTTGAGGCTTTTTAGATGCTTCGTGATTTAGATGCTTCGTGAACTCGTTTCATATATTAGCATTTCTGTTTTGTTTGCTTCTAAAGCTTCTAAATCTAAAGCAAAAAAATCAAAAATCAACAGCCGAACCGAACCCCCGATCTTACTACCGAGTTCACCAGCAACCTTTCTATATTAGCTTGCTGCTTAGATGTACAGATTATTTACATATATTTATACCATAATTCTATACAGTAGTTCTACAACTATCCACTAGGCCACAAGCACCGATAAGCCAGTGATTGAAAAGCCACCTTTAAAGCTTTAATTCAATTTTCTTCAATTCTCAATTCTTTAAAGTTCTTTAAAGCTTTGACATTTCAATTCCAATTTTTACGCGTTTGCAAGCTTATTTGGCAGATTTTGATTTCAGATTATGAATCTCCATACTCGATTTAGTAAGATGTATGTGATCCAGAAACGAAAGCTCACAAAAAGTTCATGCCTTTCCCTAGTTAAAGCTAAACACACCCTTTCTAGTGCACTAATTCTACATTTTGCATCACATACATCTTAATGTACATCACATACATCTTAATCAGAAACGAAAGCTCATAAGAAGTTCGTGCCTTTCCCTAATAAGCAGTTTATGCTAACTTTGTGCTCAGATTTGGAAATGCTCACGGAAATGCTCAAATTTGCCGATTTTTTTGATGATAATGAGCCTTTACTGATACAAAAACGAAGAATCCAGTGCGCGAGAAGGTTTGCGTTTCAAATTTTAAGCACAAAGTACAGCTACGTACCTTGGTGGAATCATTTTCGGTGGAGGCATGTTGTTGAGATTTGAGAGAAGCGGTGGTTTTAAACCCAGAAGTGGATTCAGATTTGTGAATGGGAAACCTGGAAATTCAAATGGAAAACCTGAAAATTCAATTAAATATCCTAAAAACTTTCAAGAAATGTTTAAATTTTGAAAGTTGTGTTCGAAAGTTTCAAACCTTGTGCTTTTGTTTGCTGTGCATGCAAAATGGCAGGGTTCATCGACGGGAATTGCGTGGGGAATGTCTGAAATAGATTCATGAAAATTCATAAACATTAATCTATGAAGGTAAAGCTTTTGAATTGTTGGGAAGAGAGCATTTTATTGTTCCCAACAAAATCCTCGTTTTCTAAAGTGCACCTTCCACGTCTGTCTGTCTTTCTGTCTGTCTAGGTTGTCACTAGGAACGCCTCGTAGTCTGTGCCATTTTATTTTATTTTCGCTCCCTCCCATTTGTTGTTTCTACATTTTTTATGCGTTTTATTCGTTTTATTCGTTTTATTTGTTTTATTTGTTTTATTTGTTTTATTTGTTTTATTTGTTTTATTTGTTTTATTCGTTTTATTTGTTTTATTTGTTTTATATTTGTTTTATATTTGTTTTATATTAGTTTTATTTGTTTTATTTGTTTTATTTGTTTTATATTAGTTTTATATTTGTTTTATATTAGTTTTATTTGTTTTAGCTAAATTGAACTTTACGGTCGAAAAGGCCAGAATTAAAATTCAGTCGCTTTTCATATTCAAGAAACGTATCGATGCTTTAGATCTAGTGGCTCTTTGCCGTAAGTAATTGGCTTATTGATTTCAGTATGTATTGTATGATTAAGTATCACTGTGCATTTCTCTATGATTTCTTTCACTTTATCGTTTGAATAAAGTATTATTATTAGTTTTATATTTGTTTTATATTCGTTTTATATTAGTTTTATATTCGTTTTATTTGTTTTATTCGTTTTATATTTGTTTTATATTCATTTCATTCGTTTTAGCTAAATTGAACTTTACGGTCGAAAAGGCCAAAATTAAAAGTCGGATTTTTAGGTTTAAAAATTTTCCTCCTCGTTTTTTTTGTATTTTTTGTGCATAACTAGGCATATTAAAGCATAAAAATTGGTTTTTAAGGTATTTTGGCTCTGGATTTGTAATCTGTAAAGAAAAGGAACCAAATCTTAAGAGAAAAGGAACCAAATCTCTAAAAGCACCAAATCTGTGAAGAAAAGGAACCAAATTTGTAGAGAAAAGGAACCACCGTAAAGCTCAATTTACCCTTCGTTTTATTCGTTTTCATTACTCGGGATAAACGCTAAATGTTATTCCACAAGCAAGCCAACCACTTTACAACAGTCACGAGCATCTACAACATTAATACTACAGTAAGATAGTAATCAGCAATACATTAATATAACTAACTGTTGTAGTTGCTGGAGCACTCCTCGATCCATTGTTGTTAACAGAATTGAGTTGATTGGAAATGATTTGTTGAAGGATCGCTTGTTGAGCTTGTTGCAGTTGGAACTAAAGAGACTTCTTTAAGAATAAAATTGTTATTGAAAAGATAAAATACAATAGGGCACTTTTTGATACAATATTTCTCCACCTGCTGTTGGAATCGGGCGAGATCGAGCGGGAAATTCGGATTCTGGGTGGGGAGATTGGGCGTGGAATTGGCTAAAGCTAGGCTCATTTAAATATTCTGAAATCTCTTAAAGCTAGTATTTTTGATTAGAAAGGGTTCTTGAAATGATTGAAACAGAAAATGATGCGCAGAAACTGGAGGTCCAGCGAAGTCCAGCTGGATTTGTTTCAAGCTGGAGTCCAGCTGGATTTGTTTCAAAGACGATTTTCAGAAGCCAGGCCATGCCAGATCAGAAGCCAGACCAGATCAGAAGTCAGGCCAGGCCTGATGAGAAGCCAGGCCAGGTCAGATCAGAAGCCAGGCCAGGCCAGATCAGAAGCCAGGCCAGGTCAGATCAGAAGCCAGGCCAGGCCAGATCAGAAGCCAGGCCAGGCCAGATCAGAAGCCAGGCCAGGTCAGATCAGAAGCCAGGCCAGGTCAGATCAGAAGCCAGACCAGATTCTGGTCCATAAAAAACCACTAGTCTAGTCTATCCTGGTCTGGCTTATAAGTCTAGATTTATCCCTGACTCAAATGAGCCTTTGTATATCATTTCCTTAACGAGTTCACCAGTACCTTTCTATATTAGCTTGCTGCTTAGATGTACAGATTATTTACATATATTTGTACCATAATTCTATACAGTATAAATGTAAATTAACTCTAAAATCTTGCTCAAACACTCACCAAGGGAATGTTGTTGAGCGAGTGCGGCCAATAGAAGAGACGGAGAAGGCGGTGAAAAGGCACTGTTTTGGGGTGGCTAAAAAAGAGTCAATAATGGATTTATTTAGTTTATTTTCAATACTAGACTAATTTTGAGACCTGACTGAACGCTGAAGTGGGGCTATTGTTGAGATTTCCGATTGTGGGCATTGAGGGGAGACTCGTCAAACCGGGTGACTGGAAAAGGTTGAATGTAAGAGAATGGGATTGTTTTTGAATATAAAACTGATAAGTTTTCAAATATTTCCAATAGAACTCACATTTATGATCAATTTCGTCAATTCGTTCATATTCGACGGTCGGGGAAGTGGCTGAAAAAAAGAAGAAAATCTTTGAGAAGGCAACGTTTTTCAATTGACGTTTAAACGATCGAAAATATTAATAAATAAGTATTTTGTCTTATCCATTATGTTAAATGAATAGAATATCAATAAAATTAATAGAATATCAATAAAATGAATGGCTCCAATCCTCCAATCCAATCATTCAAGGTAGGCAAAACCTTTGAGAAAAATGACCTGACGATTTTTGAAAGGTTTTCTTGAATTTCTGGCACATTTTCTTTAAGATTATAAGCTCTAGTTAATAAAGCTCTAGTTAATAGAGCTCTAGTTAATAAAGCTCCAGTTAATAAAGCTCTAGTTAATAAAGCTCCAGTTAATAAAGCTCCAGTTAATAAAGCTCCAGTTAATAAAGCTCCAGTTAATAAAGCTCTAGTTAATAAAGCTCCGGTTAATAAAGCTCTAGTTAATAAAGCTCCAGTTAATAAAGCTCCAGTTAATAAAGCTCTAGTTAATAAAGCTCTAGTTAATAAAGCTCTAGTTAATAAAGCTCCAGTTAATAAAGCTTCAGTTAATAAAGCTCTAGTTAATAAAGCTCCAGTTAATAAAGCTCCAGTTAATAAAGCTCCAGTTAATAAAGCTCTAGTTAATAAAGCTCCAGTTAATAAAGCTCCAGTTAATAAAGCTCTAGTTAATAAAGCTCCAGTTAATAAAGCTCCAGTTAATAAAGCTCTAGTTAATAAAGCTCCGGTTAATAAAGCTCTAGTTAATAAAGCTCTAGTTAATAAAGCTCCAGTTAATAAAGCTTCAGTTAATAATAATATAAGCTAATAAATAAGAAATGGTCTTTATTTAGTAAGAATGTATTTTATTGAGTTCAAATGTAAATCAGTTCAATGTAAATCAAAGTTAGCAAGTCGAAAGTCAAAGTCGAAAAGAGCTTCTCCACTCGGGTTCAACTCGGTTGTAAGAGGTCGATCCCCACAAAAAAACAAAGAAAACAGATAAATGGAGGGATTTTCTTTTTCGTTTTTTTTTTTCGAAACGTGAGCGAGCATATGTTGTCGTCTTTTTTGCTTCCTTTTTTCTGCTTTCTTTCACATTTTCTCGAATTAATGAGAGATTTTTAAAGCAAATGAAAAGCAAATGAAGCTTCATGAAAATTGTAATGATTTGTAAGAAAAATTGACAAATTTGTGTAGATTTTAGCTTCTAATAGGGCTTCTAATAGCTTCTAAATAGAGATATGATAGACGTTTTTAGATAAACAAGGAATGTCTCGAGATTCGAGCTTCAGTTACGCTCGTTTTACGTCCACTTTTCTAACTTCAGCATCAGCTTTAGCATTAGGTTGGAAAGAAAGTTCTCGAAAAAAGTTTTCACGGTGATTTCTCAAAAATCAAACCATGAATTTTGCCCAGATTTTTTTGATAAACTTACTGTAAATACTGTAATAGTACCCCACCTTCATAATGACGGTGCGGAGTGTTGCGTAGTCTAGCTTTGAACGAGTTTTTCTCGACACTGGTTTATGCTACAATGTTCGTTTTGGTTTCAAAAAATAGCCCTAAATTTCAGCTATTTTTTGATACCAAAACGAGCATTGTAGCATAAACTAGTGTCGAGAAAAACTCGTTCAAAGCTAGACTACGGTTGCGGTCTAGGGTTACGTAGTCTAGCTTTGAACGAGTTTTTCTCGACACTAGTTTATGCTACAATGTTCGTTTTGGTTTCAAAAAAATAGCTGAAATTCAGGGCTATTTTTTGATACCTAAGCGATCATTATAGCTTAAACCAGTGTCGAGAAACACTCGTTCAAAGCTAGACTACGAAACACTCCGCACCGTCATTATGGGAGTGGGGCCCCACTCCCCATGGGGTACTATTAGAGTATTTACGGTAGATGAAATGGATTACGGTCAAAAATGAGCTAAAGTGACTTTAAATAGAAAATACGTTTCTAGATAGAAAATATATTCGAATATTCAGCTGGAGTGCTTGAAAAGATTCAAGATTTTCAAAAAAATTCAAAATTTTTATATATTTTGAACTTTTTGCTAAGTTGAGCTCAAAAATTCTATAAAAAAAGGAGAAAAAAGGAAAAAAAAGTGGCATGTCACCCCTCGGGTGGGGATCCTTAAAGGAGGATACTTTGCGTGAACTCTCCCTCACGTTGTAATGCTTTGGGTTCACTCAAACTAGAGAAAAGCAAAAGGAAAAAAAACGTCAACACATACAAAATCTCGGAATTCGAAATAGAAACACAAAAAAAGCGATGAAAGGAAAGAAAGGAAAAAGAAAGGAAAGAGATGCAGTGAATGTAAAACAATAGCTATCGCGCTATTGTAAATTGTTTAGCTATTGTAAAAGAATAGCTATCGCATTAGAATCGTGTTAAACTAAGTGTGCCGAATATTCGACAACAAATTCAAATTTCGAATCTAAGCAATCAATTGTCTTTTTTATGTAGAGCATTTAGCCCGTTTACTGAATATCTTTAAGGTTGTTTGCTTTATTTAAGTCTTTGTTTGTTGTTGTGTTTGTTGTTGTGTTTGTCGTTTTGTTTGTCGTTTTGTTTGTCGTTTTGTTTGTCGTTGTGTTTGTCGTTTTGTTTGTCGTTGTGTTTGTTGCTGTGTTTGTTGCTGTGTTTGTTGCTGTGTTTGTTGTTGTGTTTGTTGTTGTGTTTGTTGTTGTGTTTGTTGTTGTGTTTGTCGTTTTGTTTGTTGCTGTGTTTGTTGCTGTGTTTGTTGCTGTGTTTGTTGCTGTGTTTGTTGCTGTGTTTGCTGCTGTGTTTGTTGCTTGTGTTTGTTGCTTGTTTTATGTTTGTATCTCCTTTTTTCATTCATAGAAAGTAAATACAATTCTGGTATAATTCTGAAAGGATACAATTCTTTTTTTCACTCATTAAAAGGAGATACAATTCTTGTACCCGAATCCCCCACCCGACCGAAATCTTTTTCCTTTTGCCCAAATTTTTTGCGACCAATTTTTGGGATCAATTTTTAGGATTAATTTTTCCTTGACTTTGGCTATATTTTTCTACAGATTTTCTACTTAAACCAAGGCATTGGCAATGACAAAAACCTCAGCAATCGATTCCAAAAATCTAAATCAATGCAATGCAATGCAATGCAAAGCAATCAATGCAATCAATGCACGCATGCTAAGAAAGAAAAGCAATCATCAATGCAATCAATGCAATACAATGCAATACAATGCAAAGCAATGCAATGCAATGCAATGCAATGCAATCAATGCAATGCAATCAATGCAATGCAATACAATGCAATGCAATCAATGCAATGCACTCAATGCAATCAATGCAATGCAAAGCAATCAATGCAATGCAATGCAATCAATGCATCTAAAGTAACGTTTTAAACCATAAACATCTCTCTAAAATAGCGCTATTTAATAGAAAATTTGGGTATAAAAATCATCTTTTTTGCACGATTTTCTAGTTAGTTTTCATTCTTTTTCACAAATCGAAATGTTTTTCCCTTTTACCTGGTAATCATGTGGTGTCCAGGGGATGGTGATCGGCGCTTCGACATGCGTGTTGCTCATTCTCGAGATTTCCTGGAAAAAAAGGGACTCTTTTAATGAATTCATAGATCTTTTACATCCAAATAATCCTAGCAAGCGTTCGGATCGGAAAACGAAAAAAGAAATACGACAAAATAAAAACTAAATAAAAAACGAAATAAAAAACGAAATAAAAATCGAAACAAAAATCGAAACAAAAATCGAAAACGAAAAGTTGGATTTTTTGGAAAGAAAACCAATTAATTTTTGAATTTTTGGTGCACTTTGTGCTCAGAATTTCATAAACAAACCCTTTCTGGCGTACCTTTCTAGCGTTCGCATTTCTCACTTAGCCCATTTTGGTGTAAAAAATGAGGAATTCAATGAGCGCTAGAATGGGGTGCGTTTACAAATTTTTGAAGCTTAAAAGAACAAATATTTGGGGCGTAAATTTAAATTTATCAATCTAAAAAGTCATTTAAATCAATCTTTTGCACTAATTTCTCAGATTTCAAAAAGAATTATTTAATTTTTTTTTTTAATTTCTTTTAATTGTAATTCTCCTCTTTTTCACCTGTCTTTTGTAATTTTCTAAAATAAATATTCAATATAATTAGGTGGAAAAGAAAATCAAAAATCTAATTTCGGCAAAATAAAAAAAAATTTGTAAAAGTGTTATTTTTGGAACGAATTTTGGAACGAACTTCTAAGAAAAGCTTTGGGTATTTTTGATTTTTTAATCAATTCTGATAAATTGCTAAGGGAAATCCCTTGAAATAGAAAAAGAAATTAAATAGAAATTAAATTAAATATAAAAAAGGAATTAAAAGAAAGAAATAAAAAAGGAATAATAATAATAATACTTTATTCAAACGATAAAGTGAAAGAAATCATAGAGAAATGCACAGTGATACTTAATCATACAATACATACTGAAATCAATAAGCCAATTACTTACGGCAAAGAGCCACTAGATCTAAAGCATCGATATATGAATTAAATAAAAAAGAAATGAAATAAAAAGAAATAAATAGAAAAAGGAATAACTAGAAAAAGAAATGAAATAAAAAAGAAAAGCTGGGAATTTTTGGGAATTTTTAATCAATTCTGATAAATTGCTAAGGGAAATCTCTTGAAATAGAAAAAGAAATAAAATAGAAATGAAATGAAATAATAATAATAATAATAATACTTTATTCAAACGATAAAGTGAAAATATAAAAAAGGAATTAAAAGAAAGAAATAAAAAAGGAATTAAATAAAAAAGGAATGAAATAAAAAAGAAATGAAATAAAAAGGAATAAAATAAAAAAGGAATTAAAAGAAAGAAATAAAATAGAAATGAAATAAAAAGAAAGAAATAAAAAAGAAAGAAATAAAAAAGGAAAGAAATAAAAAGAAATAAAATAAAAAAGAAATAAAATAATATAAATACTTTATTCAGAAAGAAATAAAATGCGAAAACGACATGAAAAATGTACTAGATAAAAGATGACAAAGTCACTTAAAATGCAACGAAATAGCCCTTTTAAAATCAGACACGGTGGAGATCAAACGCAACTTGTCGGGACATTCCAAACTTGTCGGGAAGGGCATTCCAAACTTTAATCACACGATTTACGAAAAAAGCTCTAGAGGATTTAGAGAAAGCAGATTCGGGATGCAAGAAAATAAAAGAAAAAGAAATAAAAGAGCGACGCCTAGTCGCCAAAAGCCTCGAGTTTAGTCGAAAAAGATTTTTAAAAAGATGGTTTTGATGTTCTCCTTTTACAATTTTAAAGCACTCAACCAAATCTATGATAAGACGGCGTTGTTCTAAGGTTTCAAGTGAGAAAAGTTTCAATCTATGTTTAAAGGAATTAAATAAAAAAGGAATGAAATAAAAAGAAATAAATAGAAAAAGAAATAACTAGAAAAAGAAATAGCTAGAAAAAGAAATGAAATAAAAAAGAAAAGCTGGGTATTTTTGGGGAATTTTTAATCAATTCTGATAAATTGCTAAGGGAATTCTCTTGAAATAGAAAAAGAAATTAAATAAAAAAAAGGAATTAAATAAAAAAGAAATAAAGTAAAAAAGAAATAAAACAAAAAAAATAAAACTTTTTTTCGTTTACAATTATTTTCCGAGAATGACGTGAGGAAATGACATATTTTTGGAGAAATTTGAAAGGCAAACTACCAATGGGTTTTTCTTTTATAAACACAGATCACCTAGTGCACGGAATTTGCTTCTAAATCCACGGGACTTACAAGGGAATGGTACAGAAGTGGCTGTGATATTTCGGCACCGAAATGAGGTGCAAACACAAGTCGAATACGGTGATCACGATGGCGCTTTCGGATTTTGCCAAAGAAGCTCTAGTTTTCGAGAAAAACGCGTTGCAAGTTTGGGCATCTACTCGGGAAACAGGCGCGCGAGGCTAAGTAGCCTCCGTCTGGGGAAACTTATTATGCGATATTGATACCAAAGAGTGTCAAGACTGGGCTATAGATGAACTTTTCAGAATGATACAGTCTTGCAGCTAGAAAAAAGGTGAGTTTCAATTTGAGTCTAATAAAACTCGCTTAAAACATTGTAGTTTCCAACAATGACCGGCCTCTTCTCGTTTTAACTGACATTTGACGTGTTCTTTTCCCACTAGACCACTGGGGTGCTGGCAAGGGAGAGCGGGGGAAGTCGAATACGGTGCTCACGATGGCGCTTTCGGATTTTGCCAAGAAGCCAAGAACCGTATTAGAACCGTATTGGAACTGTATTGGAACTGTGTTGGAACCGTATTGGAACCAAATTGGAATCATATTGGAATCATATTGGAACCATATTAGAACCATATTGGAACCGTATTGGAACTGTATTAGATTAAAATAGAAACCGTATTGGAACCGTATTGGAACTGTATTGGAACTGTATTAGATCAAAATAGGAACCGAATTGGAACCGTATTGGAACCGTATTGGAACCATATTGGAATCATATTGGAACCATATTAGAACCATATTGGAACCGTATTGGAACTGTATTAGATCAAAATAGGAACCGAATTGGAACCGTATTGGAAAACGAAAAAAGAAAAGCTAAATCGTAAACTTAAAGTAAAAACTGAAAAATTTTAAAGTAAATAAATCTCGACGAGTTTTTAAAGAGTCTACAATTGATTTAAGATTACGATAGCTTTTCCCATCCTTTCGAAAACGTTTTCAATAGATCAAAGAGCAATAGTTAATCTAATTTCGAAATAATAAACGATTTTTGAAATACCCAATTCTTTACAGATTTAGAATTCTTGATCTTTAGAATATTTAGAATAATTAAAGAAAGCGATCAGTGAAAAAGTGAGGGAATTTTTTGTTTTTCAGTGATAAAAGCTGAAAAGATGGAGAAAAGGTAACGAATTGAAAGAATCGAGTAAACAGTTTTATCTCTTGTTATGTGAGAAAGGAAAGAAATTGACAAAAAAATGGAAAAAATTTGAGAATTCAAAAGAATTCATAGAATTTTTGGTATCAAAAATTGCAGAAAAGACTGTTGAAATTTTTTTTTGCGTACTTTTCTCGAAAAAGCGTCGCATGACCTTCTTCTCAAGCAACACGTTTTCTAAAACTTGTCAACGTTGATTTCTACCGTAATCTTGTCCTTTTTTATCCAATCTGCCCTATTTTCTCTAATGAACGCCGCCCTCGACCACGACCTCGACGAACTTTGGACGCTTCGTTCTCAGCCCGCTTTTGAGATATTTTTATGTTTAATATAAAAAAAGATAGAAGACATTAAGGGCTATCTTTTGGTATATTAAACATTAAAATGTCTTAAAATGGGGCTGGGGACGAGGCCTCTAAAGTTAGTCGAGGGGGCGGGGCGTCTATTGGAGGAAATACGGTAGACAAACTTTGGACGCTTCGTTCTCAGCCCGCTTTTGAGATATTTTGATGTTTAATATACCAAAAGATAGCCCTTAATGTTATCTATCTTTTCGTATATTAAACATAAAAATATCTTAAAATGGGGCTGGGAACGAGGCGTCTAAAGTTAGTCCAGGAGGGCAGGGGTTTATTAGAGGAAATACGGTAGACCAACTTTGGACGCTTCGTTCTCAGCCCCATTTTAAGCTATTTTTATGTTTAATATACGAAAAAATAGAAGACATTAAGGGCTATCTTTTGGTATATTAAACATAAAAATGTCTTAAAATGGGGCTGGGAACGAGGCGTCTAAAGTTAGTCGAGGGGGCGAAGGGTTTATTAGAGGAAATATGGTATCTGACTTTTTGATCTGATTCAATGCGAGTTCACAATCCAAAAGACAAAAAGCAGAATTGGCTAAAAGAGAGACAAAATTACGGTAGAAAGGGAAAGGGATATGTTTTAGAAAACGGGTTAGAAGAGAGTTGGTAACAGTACCAAATTAGTTAATTGAACCCAAGGAAATGGGTGAAAATTTTAGAGAAATCAATAGATTCTAATAAAAATCAAAACTATAAAGTTTATAAAGTTATATTTAGAAAAAAACTACATTAAAACTTCAAGAACTTTTTAAAACATCTTTATTGTTAGGGATTTCTTTGATAAGCTGAATATCCATTCTTTGGATGTATATTGATTGATGCGATAAAGATATTCAGTCAAGTTTTATAAGGAAAAGATATTCAGTCAAGTTTTATAAGTCTTTTATAAGTTTCAAGTCAAACAAAAAGTTCTTGAGTCAAATATCGAAATTTCTCGAAAAAACTGTGATGGTAAAAGACTTTTGTCCATCGATTTTTGGCTCAATTTTTGTTTTATTAAAAAGTTCATGACACCTGATAAATTGTCAAATCCGGAGGTGGGACAAATGCGACCTTTTTTTTGCGCACCTGGACATTTGCGCACCTTTTTTTTGCTGGAAAAGGCCTTAGGAAAGGTCGTAGAGCTTCAAAAATGCTTTCATAGAAAAGAATCGTATGCGTAGATTCAGAATTTCGATAAATCAGACCTCGCTGACACGTCAAATTTGGGCTAAAAGGCAAAAACTACGCAACTTAACGCTTTTCCGCAGTTTTTGCCTT